AAAGTGGCCAAAGTTGGCAGGAAATTAAGGAACAGTTCAAATCTGCAAACCAAAAAACAATCACTTCCCCAATTAATCATGAATCCGCACCCAGCTTGCTGATTCGCAGGTTGCGGGCACATCCCTCCATCCAGGTGGATGGAACGTGTGAGATTGTGACACTCCTAAAAGTATACGATCACCACAATCTCTTCATTAGTGAATGTATCAGCTGCAATGTTAAGCCAGCCAAATATCTCCCAACACATCAGCTGGCAGACGTCATCAAGGGTGGGAACAAACTACCAATACTCTATCTCAATGTCAGAGTCTCAAATGCCAGCATAGTCCCTTTGAATCATCAATTTCTTCTAGTTCTCTACTGCAGGAGACTACCAACAAATTTAGCCTCATTTCAAACCCTTTAACTTGATATATGATCCACTGAAACATTCCGAAAATCACAGGGAGATGATTTTCATATTGGATGGAAGAATGAAGTAATCCTCCCTCCTTACTGTGAAGTTCGTGAACATAAACAGTACTCAGGCTCAATAATGGGCTAATAGCTACATACTCCAAGGATTCCTCACCAATAATAAACCTCAAATCTGCTAACAGATTTTTGGACCCTGGTACAGAAGAAATACTCAGTGTCCAAGTGTGGATTACTCCTTTTTTTCCCCTTTTATGTTTTTTGGAGGGACTTTGGGGGAGGTGACTTGTTTGAAAGTACAGTTCCTGACATTCTGCAACTTGCAAAGAATAGAAAGAAATATTGCAACAGCCTCAAAAAAGAAAAGGATAACGAAATTGCGAGGTTTAAGCACCGGCCCTCTAAGAAACTCAACTGTAAACTATCAATAACATTTTTAGTGTATGTTATATAGGGAAGAAGATCAGTATGGCATATCGAATTATTAAAACCAAATTATAAGCACAAGCAGTTCACAACTTATTATCGTCTCATAAACAAGTTCTTAGCTGTTACCAAGATTATGGTAAGTTTCACTCTGTTTACATTCTACTGACCGTCTACTGATTAACAAGTTAGGATCATTCATATAAAAAAACAGTGGCATCAATTTTCATCTCTTTGATAATTTATACAGAGGTCACAAATTGGTTCGTAAATAATCATCATCATGCCCAAATTCCAAAATGACCCCTCAACCAACCATACCATGACCAAGGAAAAAACAAAGGCAACCACGGAAGCATCCAGGAGATATGAAAAATTGAAACATCATAGAGCCCCAAAAATCAACACCAAGCTATACAAAGACAAAACGGAACCTATGAACTCAAAGAGCCCATGAAGTCAACAATCTCCTCAAGAGAGGAGTAGTCTCTCCCCTGACCCCAACAAAAAAGGGTACAAATAATAGAAAATTTCAGCATCCCAATGGAGGACTCCTTCCCATCAAAAGATCTACAATTCCGCTCTTTCCAAAGGCTCCACCAAATGCAAAAGGGGGTCACCCTCCAAAAGACTCTTGCCTGAGCCCCCACCCATTGGCCCCTCCAAATATCCAACAACTCCCGAGAGGTCCGAGGCATGACCCAATGAATTCCAAACAATCCAAAAATCAAACTCCAACAATCATGAGTCACAAGACAAAACATCCCACCCCTTTCCAATGGCCCTCCACACCCCCACTCCACTAGCAAGCCTGACTGGTCTAACTGACCATCCTCCTCTCTCCTCCCAAAAGCAACACGAAATAACCCTTCTCCATAATCTGTGTCTTTTACTGCCAAATCTCCAAAGCCACTTGCCGAGAAGAGCACTATTGAAAGGGGCCAATCTTCTAATACCAAGCCCTCCCAACTGAATAGGCCTGCAAACCTGCTCCCATTTGACAAGATGATACTTGAACTCCTATCCGCGACCTCCCCAAAGGAAGTTCCGTTGAAGCCTCTCAATTCTTCCAACAATAGAGGCTGGAATCCGAAAAAGCGAAAGAAAGTACGTTGGGAGGCTTGACAGAGACTCTTCACTAACGTAACTTTACCACCCTTTGACAAATATTGCTTTTTCTATCCAGCTAATCTTCTCTCGACCCGCTCAATCACCGGGTTCCAACTTCCCACCCTCCTAGCCGAGTCCCCCAGCGGCAAACCCATATACGAGATAGGAAAGCGTTGCGTCCCACACCTTAAAACAGCAGCCAGAGTGTCCACCTCCTGAACCTCCCCCACAGGAACAATCACGCTCTTACCCACGTTAACTTTCAAGCCAGAAACAGCCTGAAAGCAAACCAAAACACATCTCAGATACCTTAATTGGGACACCTCTGCCTCACAAAAAACAATAGTGTCATCCGTAAAAAGTAAATGAGAGATCTCCATCTGCTGAGCTGAGACAAGGCCAATCTTGAAACCCCTAATAAAACCCAAATCCACCGCCCTTCTCATCAACCTACCAAGAGTCTCCATAACAATAATAAAAAAAAAAGGGGGAAAGAGGGTCCCCCTGCCTCAACCCACGAGAACTACCAAAGAAGCCCGAAGGAGACCCATTCACCAACACTGAAAACCTGACAGTGAAAACACATGAAACAATCCATTTTCTCCATTTCTCACCAAAGCCCATCCTCTCCAACAGATAGAACAGAAAATTCCACTAATCACAATAATAATAAGGGCAAATTACAATGACCTCCCGTGAGGTTTGGCCAAATTACAAACGGATGACACTTGAGCAAAAAGTTGCAATGACCTCCCCTCTAACGATTTGGGGCAAATGGACGTCAAAAATTAGGATGAAATGACTATTATACCCTGATTATTATAATAATAAATATATTAAAATTTTTATGATGTGAATTGACAATTTTGCCACCAATTATTATAGTTATTTCCCTCCACCTTCCCTCTGTCTATCCTCTCTCTCATCTCAACTTCCTCAAACATGGCCGTCGCTGCCCACCGCCCACCACCACCATCCTCAACCATGGCCGCCACCTCCTACCATTTCCACCACCGTTGCCACCACCACTACCATCTCTCTCCTCTCTTCTCCACTTCTTCCCAACACCACAACAATGTTGTTATTGTTGCTGGTGTGGCCTTCACTTTCACACTTGTCGTCATCAAAAACTTTTAGGTACTTAGCAATATTATACAATAACACTCGGTCTACAAACGCATGGCTAAAGGTTGGACTTCAAACTTGTTCCTCGATTATTCCTCTCTACCTTGATTTGGTGTAGAAACCCAAATGGAGAGTAGAACTTAACAGCCATATTTGGTGGTTCACCTTATGTTCATCTCTAGTTTCATTTACAGCTACGAGTTTTTCGCCCATTAAAACAACGTTTTTTGTAATTTGATGACACTCTTAGGGTAATAGCGTCTTTTTCTCTTAGTTGAGGGGGATTTTGGTCACTAAACCAATTATTTTGACGGCACTAACGGAATTTTGGACGGAGGGGTGTATTTGTCATAATGGGACACTCCATAGGGGAACACGGTGCAACTTTTTGCAAAAATATCATCCGTGTGTAATTAGGCCAAACCTCAAGGGAGGTCACTGTAATTTACCCTAATAATAATAAGAATCATGGACACCAAAAAAAAATTGTCAACAAGACCTGCATCGACGTCCTGTCAGGTAAAAAATATATATTGTATAAATATTACAACTTAAGAGGAAACACTGGTTTAGAATTCCAAAACAAGAACAAGTAAAAATGAACTCAAAATCCTTAAGAGAACTTGAATTAGTGATAAATGGGATTGAAAATCACATGAGAGTAAATTTACTGTGAAAGAGGCGTTAATGAAACTTTAATGGACATGAATATGCCCAATGACGAACCCAAAAATTATACAAGGGGGGCGGCCTTGAACGACAAAAACAATTTTTTAAAAAAAATTATCGTAATAAACAAAAGAATTTTCATTAATTGATATTTTCGAGTACAATTACAATTGTTTTAGACAAGTTTTCATATTTTGAGAATGCCATATGACAACTTCATTATCTATGCTACCAAATATCTTTTCTTTTAACATATACACTCAAATTATGACTCATCCATTGATCTCATTGGATTGCGCAATTGATTGTTCACAATATTCATAGCAAAAAATGCCCTTTGTATAGTGGTAGATGCTAGAGAGAGAGAGAGAGACGATTACCATGGATGTGGGGCGGTAGAGAGTGAGAAAACGAGATGTGGGGCGGTAGAGAGTGAGAAAACGAGAGAGAGAGAGAGAGAGACTAAACTACTTTACTTTCTTTAAGACTGAAAAATATTAATGGGGACAAGAACATAGAGTGGGGTATTTTTAAAATTTTAACAAAAACTATAGGTCATAATGTAAATAAAACAAATCAGTGACGGTGGACGCCCCCACTCAGCCCTTCATAGGTCCACCCCTGTATATACAATCATCACGTTTTGACCCAACAAGTTTCTATATAATTACGTTACTTGGAAATTTTTTTTTACGAGGGCCATAACATTAAGTGTTCCTCATTCAATCTTTTAGCCCTCTTAGCATTAATCCTCTGTAATCAAAATGTCAAAATCTAAAGAGCATACCAGAATGAATAAACGACTTATACAGAAAAACAGTATCCCACCCTAACTTCTATTGAACTTGTTCAATTTTCTTGAACCTTCGTTTTCAGTACAACTAACGATAGGCCCAGCAAGAAATCAAGGCTATTATGGTACCCAACAGCCTAGCTCTAGAGCACCCACACAAAAAAGCTGCCAAATGTCCAATTGAGACTAAAAATTATATCTCAGATATAAATAAGTTTCCAGTGATAAAAATTAGTCCTGCAATATTCCCAACATATTAAACACTGTAAGAATTCACCTAAGTCAATATATTGACAAAGCATATTCATTTTGATATAATTTCACAAACATGATTATTCTTGAATACGTTGCCAAACAAAAAAAATGTCATGGGTTGGGTTGCAAAAAGATGACATTAACTATAGAATCCAGACTGTTTCAAATTTAGTATGGTTTCCAACTTCCGAAAGAATATGATCTCACCTGTGAATCTGTTTTGTGATTTTCTGATTTATGTTCTTCAGTCAAGTCGTCATCCTGATCTGGCGTAGCTAAGGTATTATCAGCTGGGCACTTAGAAGCAGAATTAAGGCACCCATTTTCATACAAGAGACGAGATTTTGTCGATGGTCGCTTTCGCTTATATGTTATAACCACTTTACTATCAAACATTTAGCTTCGAGCAGAATTCCTGTCACAAATGACTAAAACTGTAACTTTATGACTCAAGAAGAATTAAGTATTTTCTTCTTAATACTGACAACTGTCATTGATGCTACTGAAACAGCAAACAGTATATAACAGCAACAATAAAAAATTTCATATGAACCAAATTTAGACAAGCAGGCAATGACATCACTTGGAAATGCAATAGAAGAACAATTCTCAAATACATACAATATCTAATTTATACTAAAATGTCAGAGCACATAGAACTTTCATTTCTCATTTTCATATATCTAGAGTAAGAATCGAGCCCCAAACCGCTCCCCTTCGCTCCTTTTTAGATGTCATGTCAATAAGCAACCATTGTGCAACTAGTGTCACGACAATCCTGATGACTTACGATTAGCAAACTTATTATAGATGCGCCAAGAAGAAATAGAGCAAAACTGCTCGTAAATAGGAACCTTCAAGCTTCATAGACATTCACCAACTTAAGTAACAAATTGAACTGCAAATTCTAGCTGAAAAACATCATGGTTAAGAGTTTGATGTTCTAATTGTTGTAGTTACTACTTTATATATAAATCAACGATTCAAAATTTCTGATTGTGATGGTCCATTACATCAATTTTCATTATACTTCAAGAAACATCCAAGGGGAATTCAATTACAAAGTCATTTGCTGACTGTGAACTGTGAACCTAATTCTCATAATAGGCTGCAAATGAAACTTTATAGCGCAGATTTCTTAGTGCCATGTTAAGATAAAAAAATTTATACCTCCAAGAGAGCTAGAACGCATAAATTGCCATACTATTATTGGCCGCATATAGCCACAAAAATAAATAACTAAAAAATAAAAAATAAAAATTGCGGACATTAGTAAGTGCCCTTAGTGAGAAAAAAACATTTCTATAGCAATATCCCACATCATGCTTCATAAAAATTGAGACCCATAATCACACCCTCACCATTAGCCACCTCTCTAAAGAATACATACCCACACATACATATAATCAAATTGAACTCGAACTACATAATTTAAGCAGCCAATAACACAAGTGTAACAAAAAAAAAACCGATCAATTAACTCACATTTTGGTAATTTGAACAAGAATGTATTTCCCCAAAAAAATGCTACTCTCTCTCTCTCTTACCTCCACCAAAAAATTCCTAATTATATTACATCAAAAAAAAATAAATAAATAAAAAATACAAAGTATGCAAAACACAATAAGGAACAACAATACATCTAACTCAACAAGAATGAGTAATTCAGGTTTTTGTTTTATTTCGGTTAATAAAAAATTTACCTTTATTATAATATTTCATTTAAGAAAATCATTAACATTTCATCATCACCTTCATAGTTTGAATAAAATGAAACTCTGAAAAAACATGATCAGCCAAATTGATACTCCCGAGGCCACATATATGCATACACAAACACATAGATACAAGTAACAGAGAAAAATCAAACCGATAATAAAAAATAAAAATAAAATAAAATAAAACTGCAGAAATTAACTTGATGAATTAGAGAAGTGGAGTGAGAAACAAAGTCGGAAAAAACGCCGGCGTGTAGGAGGTAAGGAGAGAGGGAGGGGGGAGGGAGTTGCTGCCACTTTCTCTCTCTAAACGTTTCTCTCTCTTCTTTTTCCCTGTAATGTGTGTGTGGGGGGAGCGACTGGACGAAACGTTTCTGTGCATTCACTGCGTCATTGTCCAGTGGACATATCTATAGGTGTGGGCTCACCGTTCACTTTGATACTCGCACCTGATGTCTACGCGTCCAAAGCCAAGAAAAGAAGGTTGACAGCTGGCATCACTTTTTCAGAGGTCTTGGACACGCGCGCGTGTTCGTGTTTTAGAAGACATTGATGTGGGTCCCTTGGGCTGGACATGAATCTGGGCTTGAACTGTGGGTTTATGGCTCGTTGTGGTTGTGGCCCTGTGGCTCTCTTCATGGACTGACCACCTGATCAACATAATTATTTTGGTGGGTAGCGACATTGAGCAAGTCTAGCTATTATTGGTTTATTTTAGGTGCAATATTTTCATAAAGTTGGTTTGGATTATATATAATTATTAATCATGTTAAATAATTACAATTTAAGAGAATCTCCGCCATGAATTGCTACATACATTAGAGGCTAAAAAATGAGCTAATAGAACCATTGCCGACCCTGGCATAACAACCTCTACTATGAATTGTTTTCCCTGTTATTTTTTGTTCAAAATGTAATGTGCATTCCTTTTATAACCATTGCCATTGACATTACTTGTGATTTTGGAGATAGTTTAGTGTGTGAAATAGTAATTCAAATGTGTGCCCCATGTAATGGGTGGGTCGGTTGTCCTTTTATTTATTTACTATTTTTTTTATGGCAAAAATGTTAAGGGTTAGAAGTTAAAGAGAAAGAGGACAGTGCAAGGCTTGAACACGGACTCCTAAATATGGGTAGCAACCCAACCCCTTTAGGCAACAGTAATTACACTTCTCTTTTAAACCAAAAAACTTAAATGATTTGAGCATCTCCAGCAGTCTGTTAAAATACGTTTTTTCTGTAAAATATGCACTTCCACGTATATGATATGTAAATTTTTTTAATCTCCAGCAGTCTGTTAAAATATAGTTACCAATGTGTAAAATTGTTGTGCATTACCCCACCTTTTTACGTAAGTCACATCAACATATTTCATTTCTCCTCCGTCTTTCTTATTCCATTACAGAATCAAGCCTTAAATTTGTGAAAGTTATGTGGGTCCTGACATGACACGTAATTGATTATTATTAGAAGATATATTTTTTCATAAAAAGTATAAAACAACGGAGTTAAAAATAATAATCTAAATTTTTTGCATAAATCTATCATGACACATCAAATTTACACAATATATATATATACACACACACACTATTGGAGATGCGCTTAGATGCGTGGCATTTTATATTGAACTTTCTTATTTAAATCTAAAGTGGGACAAGAATTTTTAATGTAATCCATTGAAAGATAGTTTGGTAGTAATGCATTTACCCTTTTTGTTTCACATTAGATATCTCTTTTGGAAAGTAAAACTTTTTAAGTTACATATCATTATTGCATTATTCCATTTAAAAATTACTAAGTTACCATTTTTTAATTTGAAGCACCTTTGTTTTTTATCGGTAATTATAAAAATCATATAAACCATAGAAGCACCTCTGTTTGAGACTTGATGGATAATAAACTAGTCGTTCTCTCCGATTGGTACTCCATAGAGTTGGATTTCTCTACAGTGAATATATATATATATATCTTTGGTTTTAAGGTAGGCCGAATCCATCAACAATATGTGAATTTCTTACCCTTTTTTATCATGGACTATTTGCTTTGGATATAATGGGAATATCTTGTTGGGTTTTAATCAAATAATTTACAAGTAGAAATCAATAATATTACAATTAATTAAAGAGATAATTTAGTCTCGTACCTGATTGATGATTAAAGCACATATACCTTTTGATTTTAGAGGATAACCTTAGAATTCTTTGTGATCCTGCAAAACATTAGAGTGTTTTACCTTTTTTTGAGAGTTGTCATTCGATAGGGTTGAATAAGGGTTTAAAACCCTTATATATAACAACAACAGAGGGATGACTTCTCTACAAATAAACGTACCTAAGTCTCTTTTCCTATCATAGAAACTTATATATACATGGTTATAATTAAATCATACCAAATAAGTTGAAAAATCACAATCTAACGGTATAAAACCATACTCCCAATTAGATCACCAAATTGGAAAGTACAACACAATCCATCAACTATCAATAATCACATTGCAATCCTATTTTAGAAAACGTAGTGCATAGGACCATAAATAATTTTTATTATTTATATATAAAAATTTCCAACAATCTCCCACTTGGTCCATGCACTCTAAGTTTTATAAAAAAAAAAAAAAATGACACTATGGATTGCAACACACTTTAGAAAAGTCGAGTGGTCCAATAGCGTGATCTCTATTGATCCTAATGCCAAAGACATACCATGTCCTACATGCCAAACACTCTACATAAAAATTCTTAATATCATGTATCACATGAATGTCATTGCTACCTTACAAAATGTCATCAACATATATGATAAGGAAAGCAAAATGACTCCCACTGAACTTGAGGTATATACATTTATCTATAACATTCTCTCTGAACATATAATTAGCAATCACTGTATCAAAGTTCAAATACCACTGCTGTAAAACTTGCTTAAGCCAACAATGAGTGATAATTAAAGAATGACACTTAAAGAATCCTTTAATGAAACCGGAGAAAAAATCTCAAAAAAATCAACACTTAATTTTTGCTTAAGAACTTAGCCATCAATTTTGTCTTATATTCATTATACACCTCAAAAACACTAACTACATGCAATATTTCCAATTTTTACCATTTTTTATTTCTGGAATTTTTCTGATTTTTCAAGGGTATTTTCGTCTTTTCTCGTTTTGCGTGCCGGACACCGTGGGGTGTGCCGGATGCATCCGAGAGTTAATTGTGACATTCCTTGAGTTCAAGACCCTTGAAAATGCACCATTTCAGCATTTTTTTCATTTTTCTAGCCGGAAAGTCTCGGGTGGGACCCACTACTGGAATTGTTGCGTACGGGGGTTTTGTTTAGACCTAATTGCATCTCATTCATTTTTAATTATTGTGTTTTATGTGGTTATTATATGGTTTGTGTGCATACATATAATTGTGGTGGAAAATTAAAAAGGGAAAAGTCAAAAGTGGGATTTTAAGTGGTGGGACCCACCACTTATTCATTTAATGGCCATGAGGCCAACATTAGCCTCATTCTTCTCTCTCCCCGGCTATATCTCTCTCCCCCTCTTTTCTTTACTTTTTCTTCTTCTTTTCCTTTAAAGCTTTAAGCTTTGATATCTTCTCAACCATTAAGAGTTTGGTTGTGCCGTTTGCGGTAAATCGGAAAGCCCGACGAGATCTACGCATGAGCATAAGCAATTCATCATTTGGCCAACCAGAGGATTTTCGAAATCTAGGGCTTGGATTTGGGGTTTTTGCATTTTTGGAGGTAGGGGTTTCTAATGCATACTTTCTTTAAACTTGGTGAATTATTTCTCTATAATTTGACTAGCAATGCTTTAATTTCATTAAATTATATATGGTAATGAAGGTTTTATGTGTTAGATGTGATAGTTGTGTATTATGTGAAAATATGAGTTCATGCTTCAATTGAATTGTATAAAAGAGCTAGTTAAATTCAATATGCTACATATTTGTGTTGTTATGTGTTACAACCATGATATGAATTATGTAAAATTATTATATGATTGGTTCCCAAAGCATGCTAGATGGAATCATGAAAACTCATATATTATCATGGCATTGAAGGACATGCTACATTCATGCATGACATTGGGCAAGAAAATGGGAAACGTGGTTTGAAATGGAAAGAAAAGGGTTTTGGGAAAAAGTTTTGACAAATGTTTTGAAAATGGGGAGCTACATTGTATGACATAGCATCCCATTGCATGGCTTAGTACATTCATAACTTAAATTGTTGATGTTGATGTTGTGGTTATATTAGGCACCACCTACTGAGCAATTTGCTCACTCCTTATATTTAACATTTTTCAAGACTCAGGAAAGTAGTGGCGGAGAACAACCTACCACAAGTTTGAAGGGGGATGGAAGTTCATAAATTTTGTAATATTTTGTATTATGGCTCATGAGTTATAGAACTTGTATTTTGTTACATGGATAGTGACCTTGGTGTAATCAATGTATAACTCATGTAAATGATTTTGGAACTATGTAAATGGTATGTTAAACTTGCATTTTAAATGAAGGGAATGTAATATATCATTTGGCAGTGGTTTAAAAACATGTTTGGAGCAGATTGCAAGGTTTTCACAAAGCCATTGCATTTCCTCATTTTCAGCATTTCCAGTAGTAAGAACCATTGTCGCAGAGCCATTTCGGTAGACCGAAATGGGCACTTCAGTGGACCGATTCTTTCAGTAGCTTCAGCTATTATTGGGTCCACAACCGACCAACCGAAATGGGTACTTCGGTTCGACCAGTACAGGAGGGTTCACTTCGGCCGACTGAAGCCCCCCTTCGATTGACCGAATTATTGTTGCATAGTACACCTTGTTCCATTCTCCGGCATAGTTCACCTCGAGTCTTGGGAAGTTACTTAGAACCTGAATGAAGTATATTTATGATGCAATAAAGATGTATTGACATTTGATATAATGGAATTGACTTAGGTGACCTCGGGTTTTCGAGTAAGGACCTAGTTAACGGTTCGGACCTATGGGTTCGGGTCGTTACACTACAGCACACTTCCATGCTCTAAAAGATAATCTAAACTGACTTAGGAACTTGATTGAAAACTGAAAGAAAAGCTTGCAAAGGAGAAATAACTAAATGAGTAGGAATAACTGAATAAGTGGGAATATGAACTTTAACTGAAACCACTAAAGAAAGTGGAATGAAGCCTGAATTA